ACCCTCGAAATTCTAGTCAATTAATTTTAATAATACATATGTTGTAATGACACAATTTGTCTCTCATTTTTCTCTAATTAATTGCCTATGGATGATGCATTGTGACGCGTCTGTTCGTATTCGATGAAAGCCTGCGCGTCGATATCTATTAAAGAGATTTTAAGCTTTAAATTGGTTGCCAAGATTCTACAAGTCTATCAATTATGAAGTAATAGTAACACATAATCTACTCGATGTCACAACCCTACGCTACTTGCGGAAATATGGGTTAGCAGCTGCCGATGCAGAAACATCGAATCTTCTCAATTCTTTTAACAAAAAACAATTCAAAGTTCTAAACCCCACCCATCCCCCTTAATAATATACGCCATAAGGTATCCGATCATACAGGAGTCAGTGAAAGCCGAGGTCAGAAGTGCTTACGCCAAGGTACAACCTACGTAACAAGCATACACTGCCTATCAGAAAAATGTGTAATACGTAAAAGGAGACAAAATAAATCGACAACATATTTTATTCTGAGATTGTCCATCCATAATGCGTGCTTACTGCGCTTTCAAGATTTGTCTTTCAATTAAACATGAGGATACTCCAAAACCCTGTATAACCCAATTCTAGTATCATATCTGTATAGCCCAATTCTAGTATCATATCTGTATAGCCCAATTCTAGTATCATATCTGTATAGCCCAATTCTAGTCATATCTGTATAACCCAATTCTAGTACCATCTTATCTGATATCAAACCCAATTCTAGCATCATATCTGTATAACCCAATTCTAGTATCATCTTATCTGATATCAAACCAAATTTTATAGGAAAAAAAAGAAAGAAAACCCAAAGCTTTTTTTTGGTTAACGTTTTGTGGCTGCATCTTCGTCAGTCTGTTACTGGCTTAAAAAAATCGGATGATTTTATAATAGATGCATTGATAGTAATTGTTATCGTGTATTTGTTGGTTAAACTATCACATACCATATTTAATTGATGCACATGAAAGGCGCACTATTTTCAGCTACGGATATCACATGTATAACAAAGAAACTAACTGTACGATAGCAAAGATTAACCATATCAAACGAACATATGTTATGCTCCATTGCATCGTTGATTATACTATAGACGTAATATTGGCATTGATAAGAGTATGTGATAGTAATTGACTATACGACTTTTTGTAATACGCTCGATTTACACATTCTTCTAAATAATATCTCATATTAAATTAATCTGTTCTCCATACGACAGCCTTACTTAATTTTAATATCATGACCATATAGAGCTCTTGTGTTACTATTGTTGACACACCAAATGTATGTTACACATACAACAACTCAGACTAGAATTACGCCGAAACAAGTAATAATTTCCACACATCCGATGGGCACTTCAAATCGATGATTATATGGGCTAATCATATGTGTGGATCATGTTTTATATATAGTCATATTGAATTAGTTCTTTTCTTTGAATCTATTATCTTTGATCAATTACATTGTTCCAGTATCGCATTCTAACTATTCTTTTGTCTGCTGTAAGCACGTGTCGATACTCTGCCATACGTTCAATTCGAACTTTGATCACAAAGATACGCCCCCCATCGATTGTGATAACTTATTATGTTATCGCATTAAGCTTTGTCATTCTATTGTTCTTAATGGGTTACTTATCAGAATGAAATCTATTACCATTTTGCTATTATAAAAATCGGTTACCCTGGCAATTGAACAACGTCTGTGTACATTAGCGATTATATGTTCGAATGCTTATCGCAGATTAGGTGTTGTTGGGCTCATGGTATCCCTTAAGCCTAATTCAAATAAAATGAAGTTCCGATTGTATTTTAATTATACCATAACCATAGCGATGTGATAGAAATATTTCTCTTTTAATCGTTGCAATATGAACCGATTTCCCTCCTTGAAAACTGATGGCTTTTGTGTGCAACTCGTGTGTGAAAGTGTATTGATAATATCCACATTACTCACACACGCTCTCAGTCAACACCATGTATAGAATAATTAATTGCAATTGCCTTTCGATGCAAATGTTCTATGCTAGAAGCATCAAGTGTTTGCTAATAATAAACACAATAGAATGTGTAGATGTAGTCCATAATAATTGGATGCAAATTTGCAATACCCAGTCCAATACACACGTCCCTGTCTCAAAGAAGCTCCCACAATCATGCCACTTTAAATTCAAAACCCCAATTATGTAGCCACGAAGTAGACTTGAGCAGGTTCAGGGACTGGTCGGGGAAAGCTGTTTAACAGATATATACGGAAATACAATAACAACAAACGTACTATTAAATAAATTGAATGTAAAAGAGTGAACATTTAATAATTAATTTGGACTCTAACCACAACTATTCATATTAATTGAATCAGCTGACGATATAGTATCATGCTGAATATATAGTGAAACATATAGTGAACCTTTATCTTAAAATATATATGCGCGTTTGTTGATTATAGCAATATTGTGAGCACCAGTAATCATCAATCCTGAAGATCATCTGACATCAAATGTATTAATGATGAATTTTCTCCTATTGTCAAAGAATAAAGAACCAGATAATAATAGTCAGACCCTGAAGAGCTAATATCAATTGATAGCCGATGAATTTGTAATTAAACAACTGACAGAAAGGTACCGGTTGAATAGCGTAAACTGCTAATTAAAGTTTGTTGAAAACTTGACATGTAATTTTTAGATGAAAACCTTGTAATCTTGGCAAGGAAACTAAATTTTTTATTTTACTGACCATCCGCTGATCCAAGAGCAAAAAAAAAAAAAAAAAAGAGATTTTTTATTTTCAAATACTATTAGTAATAGTAATCATAATGTAATAATGCTTGGATTGGGTTTGGTAAAAGCATATTAGATTTAATAGTATCATTTGTAACATTTATTGGTAGGATAGAGTTAGAGACCTTTACTTTTATCACGAATAAACCAGGTGCCAATGAAGCATTTTCTTTGGCAATTTCACTAATAACGAAAGTTGACTGTTATCTATTATTCGGGGGGGAAGAAGAAAAAAACACGCGACCGTATTGGTTGCCTAAACCGAGTAAACCAGACTCCGAGTTTACATGCAGAATTGTAGAGTAATTCGACTATAAAGCATTAACATAATTAAATTAATAAAGTATGGAAATATAATTTCTGATATGCTATTATGATCAACAATAGTTTCGGAGAATAAATTGTATTGAACATGGAAGCCAAGAATTTAGTAGTAAAAGAATAAAGTACGCCAAAGGGTCCGTTGAATGATTAGCATAATATATAAAAAAAGTCAGCAAATCCCCGCAAGGTATAAAAATAAGGATAATAAGTATAGTTAGCAACTTTATTGGCTGAGCGGGTAATTGATAACTAACCGAAACAATAGCTCCTTTGCTAATCAAAGCTTAATAATTAGCACCGTCTTATTTATTGTCTCAACGACGGCGCGCTCTTTGTCCTGTCCAAATTAATTTCCGCTTTTCCAACGCAGCGAAAATTTACCAGGTCAAATAATTAGTAGCTGTGCATATATTATATATGTATGAGACGTCAGTGATGCCTCAGAGATACACTTGAAATACTCGCAGCCATTGACGAATTCTGATCATAAACCCGTCTTAAAATTTCGATCGGATTTCTATTTTATTAAAAATTCGGGCTGTGCATACACGGGGTTACACGCATCTATTCATTAACGTAGTACTGTCGCCATGCTTCTTTTTTCTGAATTATTACGTTTAGCTAAATCCTAATAAAACAAAAGCTGTTAAATGAATGTCTCCAATAGGTTAGGGAAGTGGTCGGTCGAGTCAGCTGGTGGTTCAGTTGATTAGATGGGGCTGGTTTGTCGGGCGGCCGTTTATCAGCGGCCGTTTATCAATATATTTAACAAGTGATTGTATATTTAACAGGCTGATTAATAAAAGTTTTGATGGATAAATATGCAATACTAGTTTGACCATTTGGTTAATATGTTGGACCGTTAGTCCATTACGTTAGCTGTATATTCACAACTTTATTTATTACACAGTATAATATTTCCACTTAAAGTCGTTTAAACAAAAGGGGGGGATGATGTGTGAACGCATGCAGGATGTGTACATTTTTACCTATATAATATTAACTGCATAATTATACACAACATATGATGATTGATTTATTCAATGATGTAACAGCGGCTATTTTATAGTATTAGCTTTTTGATTCATAATACTTATTTATTAAGCAAGCAAATAATACTTTATGTGTCATATTGATTAATAACATCCAGATGCCTATATATAAATCAACATCCTTCTCGATCCCGTTTTCTTCATAATCGATTTACATTCTGTCTTCGCATATTCTATTTCGTCTTAAAAAGTAGAAGTCTATTTTGATCTCGGTTGCTCGAGTCTGTATATAAACAAACACTCTAGGGACTTCTACAACCGAGGATTATCCAAGGAGTGTTTTACTCTCTTTTCCTGCCTCGTAACCAAGAGAGCAAAAATTTATTTGTTAATAGTACTATCCTTATTCTTATATTTCGAGGCGAGCAAAAAATTCAACCAACTCAACTAATACAAAACCAAACAAACAAATACCAACTCTATTTATTACATTAATACTTGTATTCATAATACTGTTGTTTTTATTTCTGTCTGATTCACAAAGGCATCAATTCAAAGTAGCACGTATATAAACCCAAGTACTATTAAATCTCCTTAACAACCATATATATATAAACACTTATTTTCAACCTCCGCCCGCTCTCTACCTGTTTATTCTCTTATTTCTAATACACTATTACTGAAAGGAAACAAAAAAGATGATGGAATATGTTTTCGTCGACGATTTACATCGCTACAAGCGCTTAAAAGTCACAAGAGCATGCGAGTCATGCCGAAGACGCAAAGTCAAATGCGACGGTGGATCAGGCGGTACTCAAACCCCTTGTTCAAGTTGCAGAAAACTCAAAATCGAATGCATTTTCTCCAACATGGCGGTCAAGAGGGCTCACCCAAAAACCGAACAGGAGCAGATGGATGAGCGATCTCAAAGGATTGAAAATATTCTGCACAAATTAGACGAAGAAGACAGCGCTAAAGGAAAACGAGGTAAATATTTCTTGTCATGTATACTTCTATTTGATTCGTTGGTTAAGAGAGTGAAGTGGTATTGGACGTTTGAGTGGCGAAGCTTTCATTCAATTCTTTACATTGGTGTCGTTTGAACACCAAAAGATTTAAATCCTCTTCCCTCCCTCCATACGTATATACATACGTATACATTACATAGCTACAATCATACCTAAATCATTCGTTCGTTCGTTCATTCATTCATTCATACGTACATACATACACACATATACGCATATATATACGTTACATATATATACGCGTTGCCTACTATTATCCCTCTTATCAATTCTTTTTTCAAACCTTTCGGCAACCCCAAACCCCCTCCTTCTTTCCACCACCTTCCCCTCCCATCAATTACTTCCTCGTACATACATACTTCCCTTATGTTTTCCAGCCAGCAAACTCCCATCACCTCACTTATTTTGAAAGTTTTGCCTTCACGACCGAACCTCTCATCTATAGCCTTGACGTTAACTCACCCTCAATTAGTAAATATCGCCGATTATGTTGACTCTTCGACAGGCGTACTTGAAACAGTGAAGATATGCCAGACCGGGCGCGCACAATATATATACAACGCCGAATTATCGAAAACGGACCCAAAACGCTGCGATTTCTCCGATACGGTTGTTTTCACAGAACCGCCTTTGCCATTTGTGGGCTTTTCCAATCCTCCTGTGCCTTCCCCAGAGTTGACAAACAATCTGGTTCAACTGTACTTCCATCATATTCATCCTTATGTACCTGTATTGCATAAAGCCAATTTCTTGAGGAGGTTGAATAATAAGGATGGCAATAATCCTGTTTCGCCATTGCTGTTGTATGCTGTTCTGGCCATAGCATCAAAGTTCAGTGAAGACCCAGCCGTACGAACGGACCCCATGGACCCAGACACTGCAGGGCTAGCCTACTATAATAAAGCAAAAGGTAATACCTTTTTTTTCTCATTCGGATAATATATTACTCATCATTTAGATAAGCTAAAAATAACCAGTTGGTTTGTCAAAACCCAGCACAATTTTTTTCGTTTCTGTACTAACCTGTTTCGTGTTAAATTTTTTCGCATGTTTCTATGTACATTCTATGCATACACAACATATTTGTACGACATTCACACGGGCTTTATGCATTCTCCAGACTTGCAAGACGAATTCTTTGACACACCAAGGCTGTCCACCATACAAGCCTTAATCCTTATGTTGAAATACCAGGAGGGAATTCGTCGACCTGGCTTTTTTTACAGAAGCTGGGTACACTTTGGAACTATTACCCGAATGGTACAAGATCCGGGCTTAAACAGGAGTTTTGACAAATACAGTTATCCCATCTCTAACGAAGACATGATTGCCAGAAAGCGAGTGTGGCAAGTTTGCTTTCTGTGTGACCAATTCATGAGTGGAGCACAAGGTATGCATTACGCAATCACTGCAGGCTTACCTAAGCGGATTATATATACAACTCTATACAAAAAGGAACTAACTTATCTTACCATCAATTTATCAATGTAGGACGAGATGTTGTCATATCTCTCAGCCAGGCTGACATAGATTTACCGTTGAAAGAAGAATATGCCGACGACGAGGAAGAATTCGAGCTCCAAACGAACTTTGTGCATCTTGTACGCCTAGCTAAAATACTCGCAAGCGTAATGACAGTTATTGCTCCAGCTGGTTCTGGTTCTCCGCTTCAGCCATGGAATTCCAATCCCAAACTACAAACACTTGACCAGGCACTCGAAGCGTGGTATGCAGCGCTCCCTCAGCGGCTTCAGTGTACGCGACCGTCGGATCCTTCTACTAGCCCAGTCGTTCAACCTATTGAATCTCATTTCTCCGGTTTCCTTAATATTCTTTACCACACAATCGTAATATTGTTACATCGGCCATACGTGACTAATTTCAATCGAGCAGCACAACCAAACCACCACCATTTGAATATCTGTTCTGCCGCTGCAAACAGCATCTCACAAATCGCACAAGTGGTGTACGAGAAATGGGGACCGCTTGTATTTCAATACCCGTTGAGAGGAGGAAATTATGGCGTATATTGTCTTGTTTCCGCTTCAATGATCCACCTTGTGAATATGACGTCTCCAGATGTGTTGGGCGCTAAAACAGCTCACGACCATTTGTTGAGGACGCTTGGGGTTCTCCGAATCTGTGTTGAACACAGTGCAGCAACGGAACTATGTGACAAAGTAACGGCTCTGGAAGTGGCCTTTACTGCACAACAAGCACGTCAGTCAGCTATTCCTGTCCTGTTCAATCAAGGTGCTAATCCAGCAATGGATCAGGTTAACGGTCTTAATTATGTCAAACGACGACAGATGCAGCGCCGCCGTCAAACCGGAATACCTGGCTCACATCATCACGCAACAGGCGCTCATATGATTTCAAGTAGTTTGCCTAATTTATCTATGCTAAATCAAGCACCTCAGTTCCACGAGCGCTCGTTGTTTGCTTTACCAGAAGATCAAGGCATGCCGCCCACGTTTACAACTGATGCAGGACATGCGACCTACGATTTCATGAACACGCCGCTTGATGAGAATAGTTCGCTTCTCACTTCTTCCATGGGAAACATTCCACTTACTCCACCCATGACAGTTCCTAACTCTGAATATAACTCAATAATGTCGATCAACAACCCCAAATCAATAGACATGAACGGTGGTACGATAGACCCTAATAGCACTTACTGGGATTCTGATCAAATTTATTTGTTCAATCAAATAAATCAAAATCAACAGAACATATGGTCGGGCAGTGGCACTATTAGTCCAATCAGCATCAGTACGTCGCCCGTAGCTACACCATCGCTAACGCATTCCCAGGCGTCGCCCTCGTACAACGCTGCCCATTCGGCTCATTCGAAAGTGTCATCTGCTGAATCTACTCCATTACATGTACCACATCATCTACCAACTGTAATAGACCCAGTGCTTGTTGCTTCTCAGAACCAGGAATTACTTTTGGGATCAGATAGTAATGGATGGTTTATGCAATGAATAGTTTTGTTTGTTTGTTTTTCTTTTTTTTTCCCAACCTTTTTCAAAAGTAAATATTAATTTTTTTAGTATAAATTATTAGTAGAACGCCGCAAAGTAAATGTAGCATATGTTCTTTAAAGAAAGAAGGAATAGTCTTCTGGGAAGATAATTCTTTAAAGAATGAACTCTCGGACATTAGGATTTGTAGTACATTATTATTTAATTGTTTTTAATATTTAATATGTTTTTTTCTTTTTCTTTTCTTTCTCTTTCTTTTACCCTTTTTTTGTTACTACATTTGATGTATAATATGTCTCGCATGAAAGATATATCATGTGCGTAATGTGTTCCGCTCTGCACTTTTTATAGTATCAATGTAAGATATAATCTTGGCATTTGTCTTAAATTTTTATATCCATTTAATGCACTTTAATATTACGACCATCTTTAGTCTTATTTTTAACTTGAAAAGAAAAGAAATTTTGTAAATTTTGTTGAGCGGGGTTTTTTTTATATTGAAGTGATTAGATGAAGGATTGGTGGGTCTGATTTTTCTACTATACTTCTTCGTTTTTTTTTCTTTGTTATTTTTTTCATTGTCGAAAAGAAACCCCACCCTTTCCGATTTTCTTTACAAACAAAAAAAAACTAAAATAAATAAAAAATAAAAAATAAGAAAAAATTATAAAAAATAATGTTAATAAATAAACGAGACAAACCATTCGTGAGTAACGATGGGAACAGTTTAAAAAACAAAGCGTTTTAACAGTTTGTTAATCTTTAGCTGTTTTACCGGTCAGATGTTTCTCAATTGGCCTCTTACTCTTTACAACTACATTTTAAACAGTATGGTGGTTAACTTTCATATTTGGAGAATCAATTCTTAAATCTTGATCGCGCAATCTGACATCCTTTTTACAAAATGTAACCAACATAGTGAAGTGACGAAATTGAGTTAAAATTCAAATGTTTGAGTAGCATCACATGGGCTAGGCAAAGGGAACAAAAAGATTCAGGGTCATTTTAATAATGCCCTCGGGTTTTATGGCCTGTTTTATTTCTTACTCGATGATTCGTTAATGTCCAAAGGAGTAATAAATCCGAATACGTGATTTACCCACTCCTTTATAGGTTATTTGACAGTGTTGCTCTAAAACCAAATAATTTTAATTCACATGTTGCCTCCATTTAACTTAATCTTTTGACTCTTATTCATGATATACTGTATTCTCTGTAGTGGTCATATGACGTGTCGATTGGTAGTTGTAATTACACGGCGCAAAAGCTCGCTTCTATATGGACTGGCGTGTGTCAATAAGAAAGCCAAAAACAGCTCAGAAAGTGTGCTGTAGACGATTAAATAATGACTAAACAAACGGCGGTGGAACACTATGGAAAGGTTTTGCTTTAGTATAAATTCTTGGATCTTGTTATGCAAGTATGACTGAAACTGACAAAAAATTATACTAAGCAAACTTCTATTACTATCTAAAAATTATACTTACTAACTAAATTAATTAGCCTGCTATGATTTAACTGTCACAACATAAAAGAAGGTTATTAGCTACTTGTTTAAATAAAGAAGAGAAAATAAATGTGCAGATTGAGAAAGGGAAAAAGATCTTTAGAGAAAAAAGAGGGAGGTAATTGGCCTTGAAGGGTAAAGAAGCTAAATGAGCATAGTCAATGAAAATGTGACAGAATCACTACTGCTTGCCTGCTTTAATACAAATCACTATATAATTTTGCAATACATACATGCACATATTAACATACATCCTTACATACCAATACCTGCGAGACAAGTGTGAACACAAGGCAATGAGTAATCTTTCGAGTGCAAACGTAAAAATCCAACATAGTAATAATAACAAGCAGACTGTATGTACTGCTCATTCTTGACTTCTACAAAAAGTCTCCTCGCAAGTTACCAAATTGATGAGTTTTTGTTAGGGTTACATGCTAAGGATAAACCGAGTTAGATGTTTTTTTGAGACTAGACGCGGATATCGGAAGGAAATCGTGTTTATTTGAACGCAAAACTTTTTTGCGCACTGTAATTGCCAAAGTTTCGATTAAATTGTAGAGCTCTAAATATGTCCTAAAACTTTAGAAATTTCACCAGTAATCATCTTTTTCGAATTGTAACAAAAGTTACTTTTTTAGCAAGTTATCTTAAGAAAGATTTTTTAAAATTGGAAAGTGACAATAATATGTGCAAGAACGCAATAATAATAAATGCTGTTTATTTATTTTAAATTTAAAATGACGCAAATTGGATTATTCTTGGCACACATGCACTGTATATCAGGAGAAATGCTTTCGTAGATTGTTGACCCTAATATAAAGAATAGCTAGAAATTATCGCCGGGTTAGTCTGCAGTAGGAGATCATATAACTGTCAAATCAAGTATCACGGAATTATCGATTAAAAACTCATTCCGTATATTAAATATCCAGGATAAGTTAATCAAGGCAAAATTGTTTACAAACTGATAAATTATTATCGGTGGCAAATTTGGCAACGAAATTGGCAACTTAAAATACTTTCTCGCGAGAGAGAATCGCTTGCAAAATAGAACTACGACTTAAAGTAACGCGGACACGTAGCGAGGCCGTGGTTAGAGTTGAATTAGAGAATATCGTCTGGTCGTATTGTAATTGAACAAGCCCTCTCCCCATAGACCGAATGCAACTGTGCAAGCAAGGTATTCAATCACAAACTTTCATTTCATAAGCATAGTCGCCTATCTGTATGTGTATTAGTATCCTGCGTTTTGTATTTGCGGCATACTCTAACAGTTTTAACAATTTTGAATGTTATTTATACTTTCTCAAGGCTTTAAATAGACCTCCCCCCTTTTTACTTGTCTCTCCTCTAAATGAGTTTAGAGTTACCAATTCTATTTTTAACTACTACACGCATGTTCAATATACTGTATTTTAACCTGTGGAATTTCTGTTTATTTACCCTTGGCTTTCATCCCCTCTCCCATCCCGAAAAGAGAAATAAATGGCTTCTGATCATGGTTACATTCCCCAAAGTTACTTAATAAATAGTTAAATCAAATAATGTCATGTGACCCGGTGATAACTCTATAAATATCTAAAAGAAAAAAGAAACAGGTCTATCTCACATTCGGCCAGTGAATTTAAACTCTGATTAACAATATCATTTGATTGTTGCAATCGGCGTTTCAGCCATTTAACATCCGCCTGGCTATGCCTTGTTACATTCTTTGTTGTCAAGAATGATACCATATTTTGATCAACTTTCTTGTAATAGAAGTCAATATACCTACAGAAACGACAACAGATTCTGGTGAGCTTGGGATATAGAATGACAAATCATTAAAATGCTAAATTAATGTCAACAAACTTCTGTGCTTCCAGGCATCTTTTGACCTCAGCGATGTCTGAAGAATAATTATTTATTGCCTCCTGTAATTCATTCTTGATCGTAAGTATCCTACGCCGCAATTTAATCAACTTCATAATTACTTCTACTACAGGACCTCTCAAAAGAATATTGTATTTGTAAACTGATCGTGCATTATTCTCCCTTGTGACAATCTGACAGAAACTCAGCATGTCGTTATAAATCTTATTAAAGATTATATCATAGCATAATTTGCGGGATTTCTGAGCCTGACGAAACCAAGCTTGGATTTTTCTGGCAGCTTCATCAGCCTGAGGCGAATCCATCTCTGCAGGATTTTCACAAGCAGCGTATATTGGTTTATCGCTCTCATCAGCCTGAGGCAAATCCATCTCTGCAGGATTTTCACAAGCAGTGTATATTGATTTATCGCTCTCATTAATTTCGTCAGCATGCTGCGAGAATTTATTTACCACACTAGTCTTTCCTACACGTGATACAATTTTATCCAGAGAAGAATAAAATCCTGCAACAGAATTATAACTAAGCATCTTGACATCATATATATTCAGCCCGCGAAATCGTGATGGACCACAAGAATTGTGAATTATAACCAGAGAATCGCAGCCTGTTGCTTTGAGATCATTTGCCAAAATCCTTGCAAGGTATGTCATGTTATCTGCCATCACGTAGCCCCTAAACTCCACACATGAATATTGGTTTCTAATATCTGTAAAGAGCTTCAATACAGGTGACTCGAATGTGCATTCGTTCAGGCCAATGAGGACCAGGAGACGTATTAATCGAACGACAGTCGGTGAGTAAGGCTGGAACTTGTAGATCAGGTGGAAAAGCTGTTGAGCTTGGTTGAAAGCGTTATTGATTGCATTGTGATAGTTCACCGTGTTGTATTGGTTACCTTGGTTTGGAAAGAATGGGTACGCATTGTCTCTGTAGTAATTAATCAGATAGCTTCGAGGAAGACAAGAATCGCAATATCCAGGGCGAGCTGCAAAAACCAAAGACGTCGCGAATTCCATAAGAGACACGAGGTCACCAAGCGCGTCAAGCTGGACAATATTTACGCTTTCAGCATTACTTATGGCATAGTCAATAAATGTTGTCGCGTTTCTTATCGCGTGGATAGTCTTGTTAGAATAGAAAAATTGCATAAACAAAGAGAGTCGCTTTCCAACTGCAACTATTTTTCTGCCTTTGTATTCGAAACAAATTGGCAATAATAGTAAATTGTTCAAGTCTGGAGTTTTTGACACCACCTCATGGAACTTTCCAATGCCATTTCTATCCCGTAACTGCTGAAACACGAAAATGCATTTTAACATATTCGCAAAATCACTGAACTTGAAATCGACCCCTAACCATTTCGTATAAGCAATACCAATAATCCCGTTGCGTGCGTGTTCAGAAAGTTCGTCAATTACCCAATGCGTTACTTCTGGGCAACTTGTCTGCGGTGACTGATAACGAATATGAAGTGTAATTAATTTCTCAGTCCACTTCCTTTGCAACCCAAGAACTTGCCCATCATTAAGGCAATTATTCTCGCGCAATACATCTAATTGTCGCACTACAGTGTACTGAAGACATGCAAGTGATAGGCGTCCATACAGACTCGTTGGCGTCGGGTATACGTGATGCTTTCGGCAATTGTTTCCTTGACAGAGTTTATTTCTGTCACATATAGGAAAACCTATATCCGGAATATCTTTACTTGATATGTCAACCTCCCGAATAAGACGATAAATGTAACCCACTAGAGACTGCAACATTGTCCCATGCACATCTTTTGATTTATAAATATGCCATTCACCTTCACTTTCTGCATTTTTATCATTCAATTTGTTTGCGAGCAGGCTGTCTGAAAGAGTTTTGCGCCATGATGGACGGTTTTCCACTGTGCTTACACAAAACATTTGCTCAAAATCCTTGCAAATTTCATCACTTCGAGTTGACTTGGTAAAAGGAGAAATCAATTCAACTAGCCTCAACAAATGTTGTAACCGTTGGCGCCAATAGTCAGCCCGAAGATTGAGTTGGAAATTCAGCCATATGCTTATCGCACGAAATTCTGCAATAAATTCTTTACATTCTCTGAAGAATTGTATGCATTGGTCAACTCTCCCAAAGTTTCCATCTAAATATGCCGAGTATAACTTTATCTCTTCCGTCAGAATCTTCCATTGCTCAGACCTTTTCAATTTTTGAGATCCAAGCTGTTGAATTCTGTTTATTTTGGAAAGAAGATCACGAAGCACTTGTGAATTATTAGTGCTTGTGATAATATCCGGCATCGTCTTTCTTAGTATGCTGACTCTGCACAGATGCAACAAGCATTGCAATGCCTCTAAGACGTCTCCATCACTTTTCGTGCGAATAAGCATGTCTGCAGCATCTTCTAATTTACCGATCGAGTGATGAAGTCTTGCAGCATCGCGGAACATACACTTTCCTTCATAAAATTCCAAAAGATCATTTAATCCATAAGTTTTCAGGAACTCAATCTGCTCTTCCTGCGTTGGAAGGATAGCAAGGGTTTGTTCTTTCATCTTTTCGTTCTTCAAACGATAATGATCGTATACATGATGAACATTTTCAAGAAGTAACTCCTTACTAATTTCTTGCCTATGTCTTGAATATAATAAATTGTTTAAGCATCAGTTGTTTCCGATTAGATTTTCAATAACCGTATCCATTAATATGCGCGACTTACCTCTTCATCAAATTAATTATGGTCTCATACTGGTTACACCTTTTATACGCATCAATAGCATCACTGTATTTTTTCGCCATTTTATACGAATCTCCCGCTGCAGTCCACATGCTGGCCTGAAAGTAACAGTCTGCGGCATGGTCAAACATTTTACATTTAGAGTAAGCTTTACCAGCTTCTGCATGCATACCGCCATCCTTGAATTGGTTGCGAATTCATATAAACATCAATTCACAGAGTATTAAAAGCTCAAAGACCAGGAAATTAACCGCATAACTTTCAATATAAATATTCTACCTGATAACATAAAGCCTCTTGAGCCCATCTGTTGCACTTATCAAAAGCCTCAGCAGCCTTCTTGAAGTTATTCCTGACGGTGTCACTATCAGAATCAATGTGCAACCTGGCACGTTGTTGAAGATAATATGCTTCGGCCAATTTATGCCTTTCTTCGTTTCCACCTTTGCGGAAGCATATCATAGCCTAAACGTTCATTCTTTCAGTCTTGTTCAGTTAATTTCAAAGCATGCAACTGCACGTTTCAAGAATTCCTTACCTGATCATATTTCTGTTGTTCAAAAAAATTCTTACCCTGTCGATCCCAATCGTACGAGTTGCTTTTCTTAACCAATGTGGTTAAAGTGCTTATTTCATTCAAGTCGTAAGTAACCTTCACCAGTTCATGGTGTTCCCAGTACCTTTGAATTGGATGGATCGGCCCAGGATCTTCTTCAAATATCCAGACATGCTGCCGGGCTCTGGTTATCGCGACGTAAAGGTTTTTCAGTTCCGAAGAAAGGATATAGTGCTTCTCGTGAGAAAAACTCTGAGTCCTGTCAGCATAGTTATCCAAAGCGGAGAGAACTACTCGCCACTAAATTAATACAAGCAAGAATTTAATAAAGTGCCTACACAGCGCAGTCAAAATAAAATGTAAGATATCTTACTTTCAAACATGCAGGCGAGTCGGTAAAGAAATTATACAACAGCACGTCATTAAACTCCATGCCCTTTGTCTCAAATACTGTCATTACTAAACCCGCATCGCCTATTTTTCCTCTTAAGTTCTGTTTAGCTTCATCATCACGCACGATAATGACCTGCTCAGCACCAAATTCGATTTTATCATCAATGCGCTCTCCCGCACAAAAGATTTTGAATAAATCAGTTTTTTCCTGAAGAAAATTTTTGTAAATGACAGGCTTGGGACCACAAACGTCACTATGTTCGCTCGACAATCGGTCAATGGCATCGGGAAAGAAAAACAATATAAGATCAATCACCGACGAAGCAAGTCGGAGGATGCCATTATGGGAACGGTAGTTGACGTTTAGCTCGAACTTTTTGGGGTCTCTTTTACTGAGCGGGCGTTGGTGGATCCGTTCGCGTTCCCACTTATGCATCAGGTAGCTGATATCTATATGTAGTAGGAATATAACAAGCGTTGTCTTATGAATAAAGGTGTTTTATATTTTCCTCCTTTTTTTTAGGACCAAGATAGAATTAATGTGCCGATGCATTACCCTGAAATCGAAAAGATGATCCTGGCGCAATACACTGCGCTATATCCCCGGCCACAAAGATGTTGTCAGCGTTGTTGAAAAGTTTTAAAATTAGTGCAAAATCTGTGACGCTGTTGTCCTGACATTCGTCAATATACACTTCGTCAATGTGTAAGTCACCAAGGTCCTCCGTTCTGGCACAACGCAGGACGGCTAACGCTCTACAAAAAAAACGTGGTCATTTAAACATGTGCCCAAACTTTAAATAAAAAATTCTGAATTATCGAATCTTACCGATCATTCGAATCGTAGTCATTATTTCGTGCCTTCATCTTCTCGTAACGCAAAAATAAATTATAAACCGTATCCCGGTTGTAGCGAAAAACTGAGTATTTCCTTGTGCTGAATTCTCGGTAATCTACTCTTGATAAGTAGTCTTCCTCAAGATTCGAGCTCTTGATTAAAGAAAGACGGAGATTAGACGTTGGAATAGAACGTTTTAATGAGTATAGCATGTTAAGAATTATAACGTACCTTAATAACAGAAAATTCGGCATAAACCAGCGAACAATCGAGCGTGTTTCTATATAAATCGCCTAAATGAGGCCAATACCTTTTCTGGAAAATGTTGTAATTCACAAAATGTGCCCAAGATGCTTTAGAATTCTTGAGAAAAGACGGCACCCGATAAACTGGCTCATTTTCATCTTTAAAATCTGGTCGTGGAATCAGCTTCTGAATATCAATGCCATAGGTTCCCTGAAGCATTTTCATGAATTTACCATATGTAATAAACAGTGGGAAATGGTCATCGGTCAGTTGACGAAATGAATTGGGAATGTTACCCAATACATTTTCTTCGTCAGCTTCTTCGAGCATAGTGTTATTAATCAACTCGACTGCGATGGCATTTCCTGCTTTATTCCTTATGTACTCATTAAATAAAGCCTCGGATAATTTTTTCCCGGCAAGGTCCACAGACTTTTGCAGTCGATTGAAATATTCCTTTACACGGGAGCATAGATTGGTGCTCACTGTAATGAATATCTGACGTCTGCGCACATTTTCTTCATTGGCATGCCACGATGGCGTCTTGTAAAGTCTTTTTGCTAAATGTGAAGCAATCAGCCTATATACAATACACGTTGTTTTGCCCGTTCCTAGATATTAATCAAATATTGTCAGCTATCTCTCTTAATCTTTTAGTTAGAATTCCGTACTAACCCGACCGCCCAATAACAATAGCTGATGTAGGATTGGTAATAATTTCATACTCCTTTTTTGATATCTGGAAAGTGAATTCAAGACCGCCTATAACAAGCGAATTGAGCAAACTCTACAAGGTAGTTTGTATGGCTTGTATTAGGCTATAGTATAATGTATAATAAAATATATTTTTTGCACATTTACCTTTGATAAGGGAGTAAATTTATTCGTGATAAGCATTTTATGAACTTCCAGCAGTTTTTCTTCATCCATATTAACTTCTGATGTATACTTGGTTACCATTTCTTCTTCATCATCGAAAACTTTTGGTAAAATAATGCCCCTGTTTCCTGCTTGCTGGACCGTGCATCGATGCATATGTGCTGCGTTACAGAACTGATAAACCATTGAAATATTTTCTGATTTCTTGTTAACCTGTTCCTGGTTAGCGGTAACAGCCCAAATCTTTACAAGTTGCATGAATCTGTTGCTGCGAACAGAAAACCCACAGTCAACTTGCCACAGAATTGTCAGATTGTCAAAAAGTTTTACTTCATAGACAGGAGCCGCGTCTGACTGTACGTCTCGGAGTCCATGTTTATCCCATGCCCCGGATGATATATGCACGAGCTCTTTTATAACCGCATTAATTACAGATGCAGACTCTAATTGTCGCATATCTTTAATTGCATCTTCGCTGAGCAAAACATCCCATGAGCCCAACTTATCGTTTTCATCAAATTCAAATGGAAGACGGAGTAGTCGTTCGTCCATCAGTGTCAATTTTCTTTTTCTAGTATCACAAGTATGTATAGTTGCTAATTAATAAATTAAGTCAAGTCATAAAGCTTATCACAAGTCGAGAGAGTAGTTGCATATAATTGGTAAACTCCGGTCGCTATGCACCGAACACAATGACCAGTGATAAACCTTTATATATCTTACGCTGGAAGAACGCTATATTTTTCTTAGCAATAAAATTTAAAGTAAATTGGTTTGGATAATATTTCAAGAACGAAGAAAGCCGTTTTTCGGAGGAAGAAAGCCGTTTTCCGGTGGGAAAAAGAAAGGGCAGCGTTTTGACACTGATAAGACTTTAATTTCCAAAAGTGGTCATTGATCCATCATTATCAAAACTTGGTAATTCAGTTACGCCAAGATTTCACAAACGATTAGGGAAATAATAAAATTACCTCGAAAAAGCAACAATGAATCTTGTTCTGCTAGCATGCAACGTAACACGAAATAATAAAACACATAATTCTGTGGCACTACGGCTCAGAGATAATCCTTATCTCAAAACTGTTTGAATTTAGGACTTGCTGGTATTTATCTTGAACTACTCCGAGTCCGTCATATATTGGTGTCTGCCCTGTAAAACAGTTTTGGAGGCCACCAATACAATCAATTATGAAAAAAACACACCCCCGATTTACAAATCAAATAATTTGAGTATTATTATACCATAGAACGAAGTGAGGGCTATATTTATGAACCGACGCTGCTTCAGCACTAAAATATAGTCATGCAATAGTTTACATTTTAATGGATTAAGTTGCAAAACCAATGTTATTTGCACAGTATGTTGGGAATTCGACCGTTCAATATATGGTATCAATTATCTTTAGTCCCAGCTTAGCTAGGTTTTAATAACTGGATCGGGATGAGATATCAATTGTAATATTCTCCCAAGGTGAATTAAGTGACTACATACAATGGAGCACGCACTAAACTTTCTCGAAATCATGTGATTCAATAGCGATTATCCCTCCAACAAATACACTCTTCCATCTCCTGAACCGCTATCAATTCTTGGTGTTATTACCTCTCACTATCAATCTCCTCTAGTATCATAATCAGCTAATACGTAAAGCTAAATCAGAGCAGCCTTAATCAATTATCCCTCTCTTAAACCCCCAACCGTTTTTCTTCCTAAGGAACTTTTCCATATTAACTCTTCGCATACATCCTCGTCATGTCTACAAGCAAACTATATTCGAACCAACAAGTTGGCAGCAATGTAAATCGATCCATACATTGAAAATGACCCACGTGATATTGTGATAATATATTATGAAGATAAATCAACGTTCTTCAAAAAAAAAAAAGGTTTGACACAAGATTATTTAATTCTGCCATTCCTTCATAATATTACCATTTAAGCTCTCTACATTGTCTTGGCTTTCTACATTAACTCTGAAATATTCTTTTTATGGCATACTATCAGTTATTGATTTATAGTATAGGTGAAGTGTTGAATTCTTTCAACCGCTTTTCACTAAGCTCTTTTGATTTAGGAAATAAAAAAGGCTTAGAGTCAGATTAGGCTCGTTCTTCCCGAAGATATTTTGTGACAACTTTTGACTTAGTGGCGCATCATTAGTAAGCACATGAAGGAAACTAATGATTGTTCAGTTTTCTGGTTGGAGACAAGACGTGTCGAGTGTTTAACGGGAAATGGCACAAGCTATATTGAAATGACGGTCTGAACATCACAAAACGAAGACATTTGAGAGCTTGTTACCGCAACCGTAATCGGAGTTGCACTTTAAAAAATGACATCCAAGTGTTTGTTTACCAGGTAGTAAAGTTTTAAGGACGTCAGCCTTAATCTAGCAGAAACTCGTTATTGGTGCGAACTTGTGGAAAGTATGGATTATGTAATAGCAATATTCAAGAACTAGAGGATACGTTATCTCGATTTGACGTAAGATCCAAGATATTCCATAAAATAATTAGACATATTCTCTGGACATTGAATTATCCAGTACGAAGCGTAGCAACTACCAGGCGATAAAATACGATATATTATTCTTATTAAATATGTACCAGTATAGCGATAAACTCGAGTCACCTTCCGATTAATAAACTATAACTAATGCAAGAGACTGGAATTATAAAGGCTCTTATCTTTGTAAACCAAACTTCTAATCATCGCGTTTTAGAAATCAAATAGATACGGGACATGGATTACTGTTCGTTCTGCGCGCGAATTCTCGATTCATACAGTATATATACAAGCCAAACCTTGTTTCTCTAAAAATACTTGGCAGTGCACAAGATGTAGAACACAAGTTATTCACGCACACGTATTATTTCCGCGCAAAACCTCGCAAATCGGTTCGTAGGTCGTTTCCACCAATTTATAGCAATTGGGTGGTGAGCAAACGCGAACTCATACGAAAGACAGGTTAGTTCCTTGACAATTCACGTTTGGAAAGAGAGAGTGTGTCGAGTGGGAACAACCTAAGATTAAACTAAATGAAACAATGTAGCCAAACCAGTGTCTTTATAGGTGAAACAGATATCAGTAGATCGGGTTTTTTCTCTCTGCCGATAATTATTTAACGGAGTGGGTTGTTTTAGTGAAATTTTCAAATAATCTTGAAACTACTCCCATATCTAAGCTTATCAATGACGTGACTACAGTCAGATGATTTAATCATGGCCTAACGGAATGTGTAATTTATTCACATGACCTACCTAATTCACACGCACGCAAAATTAACTTACGCAATACTTGAAACTGCTTACCAACTCTTGACGATGCCCGACATTACAGTTACTGTCAAATGTGCAAACGACACCAAATATTCCGTCACTATAGACACTTCCAAGACGGTTCTTGACTTCAAGAAAGCAATTGCAGAGAACTGTGATACTCCTCCAGAGAGACAGAGGTTAATTTACTCTGGGCGAGTACTGAAGGACACTGATAATTTGGAGACTTACAAGATCGCTGACGGACATACTGTTCACATGGTTCGAGGAGCACCACCTGGTGGTATGTGCGGACTTGGAAAATTAGTGATCTGGAGGAGCAATAGGGTATTAGAGAGTCAATTGTGCATACATGGTTTATAAGAAGAGAAGGTGGTTCAATTTCTGGGTAGATAATGAATTGGAGTAGAAACTGCGCAGCGGAAATAAATCGGATAGATCCGAAAATTTTCCTGTCATAGTATTGTATGACCACCACTTCCACGCTTCAAGTTCTATCGCTTAAAGTCATCGCTAATTGATTTTCATAACCGTTCTTTTTTACTCACAGGTTCATCTTCATCCCAACAATCAAGCAATAATAATAGCTCTCAACAACAATCTGCCCCGCCACCACAAAATGCTCAGCCTATGTTCAATCCATTTGCAAATCTAGGCGCTCCCTTTGGGACGCCCCCATTTACAAACACGACGGCTCCTAGTGCCACCGGCGCTCCATTGCCATTCGGAGACTTGTTTAATAATCCGGCATTTTTACAGCAACTCACCCAAATGATGTCCGATCCAGCTGTTTTAGACGCTGTGATAGCATCAAATCCGCAACTGGCAGATATGGGTTCACAAGTGAGGGCAGCAATGCAGAATCCAGCACTACAATCAATGATGGCGAATCCAGACTTTATTAGGCGTATGACGGAGATGTACGCGACGATGATGACACCTCCGACGGACTTTGCCAATGTTATGGGCGGATTAGGGACTCAAGGTGCACCTGGGGCGAACCCTGGATTTAATGCGAGCGCAAATACCGGGACGACAAATACGCCGAGTGACTCCACTAATGCAGCGTCGACTAATACAACGAATACCTCAAATCCGACAGCAGCACCAAACCCCTTTCTCAATCTTTTCAATCCAGCAGTAGCTAATCCAACCGGTAACAATGCGGCCAACACTACAAACACACGAAATCCTCTGGAACAATTATTATGGGGTCTTGGTGGTGGCGGTGGTGGTACTTTCAATCAACAACCACAACAACCTCCGGAGGAGAGGTACCAAGTGCAGTTACAACAGTTGAATGAAATGGGTTTCTGGGATGCGCAGAGGAACATCAGGGCTTTATTGGCTTGTGGGGGAAATGTTAATGCTGCTATTGAGTACTTGTTGAGCGACAGACAGTAATTTAGTGGAAGTGGTAGGAAATACACTGTTTTAAAGGGGGGGCGCGATAATATGAATAGGCACGTGATTTGATAAGAATGGTGTGCTAAGAATTATCGTTAATGCAGACTTCGAGATTTCAGTGGAAAGGAATTTATATAACATTCTTGATCATCTGTAAATCATCGATGCCATAAAAGGATTTTTTTTACTAGTTGGTAATAGGTAATTGTTGGTCGTGTTCTTATTTTTAGCTTGTATTCTTAGGAAGAAAGATTGAAAGTCTTCCTACCAATGTCTCTTTGTAGTCTATGTGTATCTATATAGTCTATGGATATCTTTGTTGAAATTAGTTCATACTTTTTGAACATATTTATCTAGAACTATTAAAAGAATGTTATAAAAACGTTTACAAGCATGTGTTTTATGTGAAAAAGACCCACAGGATTGCCTTCCTAATTGTGAAGTTATTTTATATTCAATTGATCTGAAGTCGGCAAATGAGGCGTGTATTTTGCCTGATCAAGCAACATTACAATCATCAGTAATGCAATTAAGGCTGGCGCTCTGACCTCTTGTTCTACCAATTTACTATAATTCGCACCAATGTTATGATGTTTAGCAAACAAAGCTGCACTATCAATGCAAAAGTATAAATACGATTATTTAATGGTAGTGAGGCTCTACACTGCAGTATTTTAAATCCCTTTCTCACCAAAAGTACATTTATAACTTAAAATGCAAGTTTATGTCGTACCTAGAACGCACAAAACGTATTAGTTGACTGTTTTGATTAGACGCGCATTTTGGAAGGAAATAAAGTTTATGCATTTGATTCCAAACGCACTGTACCTTTGGAGCCTTTATGGTCGGCGTAATCATTTCTCACTCGGACGGATTTGCCTTGGGTATTGCCGAGAGAGTTGTATGCTCGTAGTCAAAGCTTCAGAACCGTTTTCGTAGAATTCAATGCAAGCACAGGCTCCATATGAGATTGCATGTTTCATGCGCGTAGGTTCCATATAATATTGCATGTTTCATGCGCGTTTTCGGTTCCGCCACTCAAATACAAAAATATTTAAAGACATTATTAAATATCCACCAAATTCTTTAACCATTGCAATATTTTGCTTATTTGAAAAATCAAAATCGTAAACACATAAACTCTCTTCAATGCTAACAACCACCACCGCCGCCGCCAAACCCACCAAAAAAGGGTTTAAGCAAAAGGAGGTCCTCAGCTCCCTAACCTACAAGCTTAAGACCTTATTAGAACGGAAAAGTCGCGGCATGGTCTCAGAAATTGTGGTTATCCATTGTGACCGACCTTCTCCGAGCACGAACTTTCCCAAGATATCCTTGCAATCAATCAAGGAAGAAGAGTCGCCCGACGAGAACCCCAAACAAGGAAAAAAGTGCAAGATAAGGACAAGCAGCACGCAACAAACGATAACACTTGGAAGCTCTCCATCGTACGCTGCCAATCAAAGTATATCCAAATCACCTTCAAAAGCAGCTATTGAAACGGTGGATGGGCTTGTCATAATGCAGTTGTCCGCTGGAGTCGATACCGCCATTTTTATACCAAAGATTCGCATATCGGTCCATCACGACGGGTTTGGATAAGCTTAAGCTTTACACGGATGTTCGTGTAGGAAAAAGACGTTAACGAGAATGAGGACAAGAGACTTCAAAAATCATGCGTATGGGGTGAGCGCAAATTCGTGCGAACTGAATGCTGCTTCAAGGTACACATGGCAAAGCGCCTGCAAAAATTATCGATGAGGCGATTAGGTATGATTGTTTATTATTTATTTTAGGGACAAGATAATAATTCGTGCGCAGAATTTTTCAAAATCCACGCGGAACCGTTTCTATATCACCCATCTCCATAATCCATCTACTAATAAAAGAACGCAAAACTCCATAATCCATCAATGCTTTTCGCATTCCGTCCGTCATAAGCCTGTTATCACTCTGGACGACAAACGCGATTTGTGGCCGCTTCATTTCAGGAAAAAAAAAGGCCTTATGCATCCACACATCAATCCTACATCCAAACACTCTACCACCCACCCTTTCTCATGATAATAAGTGGCCCATTCCTCACAGAATAACGTCCGATTGCAAGATCACCTATATTCGCAAAACTAATGAATGGAAATTTACGAGACGCAAAACCAACTCCGCGAAACCCAAGCGGATAGTTCTATTCATGCAGTTTCCATCGACCCGGCGTTCGTACACCCTTCACATGGTACTCTCCCACTAAAGGTGTAGGTAAAATGACCAATACGACATTGGACGAATTATTCGCCTATACAAGCATATGGATAATCTTCTTTCTATAAAGGACAAGCTGGCTGCCTCTAGTTCAAAACGTAGGCCTTGCGACTTGATAAGGCAATCCTTCGGATGCGACGAAAAATCAAACACCTGCAAAGCGAAGATCATAAAAAGAGTGTCGCATTTTTTACTCGCGAATTTGATGCCATTATCATCCGAGGTGTCGAAATGGTAAATCGAAAAACAAGAAGGATAACACAAAAAACCGCCACTATCAATTTCGCCAACGCCTGGTGGCTAAAGCAGAAGAATTAGGGGTCCGTGTTATTACCCAAAATGAGGCCTATACTTCAAAAATAGGATGTACAAGCGCCGAAATTGTGGAACTGTAATGAAAATGGCGCTCGGGGAATCTTCCTCCGGGCATTGCTTGATGGAGCCTTGATTCTCTCCGGAGAAATAGTACTATTGATATGTTACAATCCAGTTTAACCACGTTGCTATATGCAAAATGTGCTTGCATATTACATTCACACGTAAGCAGTCTAACTATACAATGGCGATACTATCAATACGTTTGTTGAACTCCTTAATTTATAATAATAATAACTTTGCTAATAAACTATTGTGGGATTAATGGTCGTGGGAATATCGTCATGATGTTTCGCAAGAAATTCGAAAATCCACATAATTCTCTTTCTTGCCCTTAATATTAACATTAGTGTCAGCTAAAAGCGTAGTTGCTTTCCTTTCTTGATTGCTTGCAAAGGATGACATATTTGGCTCATTAATATGTCGCAAAATCTTATCCCTGAATTTGTAAGTGTATTGTTTGTGGCGTGATATCGGATAATCTTCCACATGTATGTTTAATATTTAATATGCTCAACTGCGAGATGATCAGTTTTGTGACACAGCGGACCTTACAAATTTATATTGATATTAAATATTGGCACAGGTTTTTAGATATCCGCCCATATAAGGTAGACTTTTGTGTCTGAACAAATCTATAAAAGTTACTGAAGCCCTTTCCCCAGTTTTTTTTATATTGTCCTTGGCTTTATTACGTTCGAATATTCAAAATATTCAAAATGGGGCTCTCAAAGCAGCACCGTATTATACTGCTGTTAGTCATTGATACAGCTTTCTTCTTGCTAGAAATAGTAGCAGGGTACTCGGTACATTCACTCGCACTGGTTGCTGACTCATTTCACATGCTTAATGATGTTATGAGTCTAGTGGTTGCGTTATACGCTTTGCGTGTAAGTAACGAGTGTCTATATTCCGCATAGCAAGGAAGTTTGATTAACATAACGTTACCGTATTATATCATTATAGCTTGTCAATAGTAGGACATCTCCTAAGCGACTCAGTTATGGTTATATACGTGCAGAAATCTTGGGTGCGCTTATAAACGGTGTCTTCTTGCTTGCTTTGTGTTTCACAATTTTCCTTAGCGCAGTGGAGAGATTTTTCGAACCAAGAGGTTAGTTTTTCGTTTGTCCCGCTGTACATGTATATTTATTCACATGATTAAGATTTGAATGGTTTTTGCAGAAATAACCGATCCGAATATGGTTCTTATTGTTGGAAGTGCGGGGCTGGCCTCGAACATAATTGGTTTACTGCTTTTTCACGGTTAGTTTACATCAAAAGTCTGTATTCTCACAAGAGGTCTCGCATGATGATATATTTCTTATTTATCTAGAACACAACCATTCACATGGTCATTCGCACGGCCATTCGCACGATCATGGATCCAAAAATTCCACGGGCATCGAGTCAACCCCTCCCATTGATATATTTGTTCATCCTGCTAGATCGCGTCAATCTATTGTCGAAGCAGCCAATCCCGCTAGACGTCAATCTGTTATTGAAGGATTAGCAAATGCTGCTGCTGTAATTGATCCGGATACCATCTCTCCCTCCTCGTCTTTTTCCTCTTCTTCCTCTTCCTCCTCTTCCTCGGCTGCGGAAAATGGTGGTAACGCGGAATTAGGAGCAGCAGAAAACCGTGTTCCTGACGAGTCACAAGCAATAACAGAACTCGAGCATAAACATAATGATAAAAAGCAAGCCTCTTTCGATTCTAGTATCGATGGACATGATCATAATTTACACGATGATGGTCATAGTCATAGTCATGGTCATGGTCACAGCAAGGATGGTAAAAAGCATGCGCACAATAGTTTGAATATGCATGGCGTATTCTTGCATGTTCTTGGTGATTTCCTAGGAAATTTTGGTAATTTGAGCTTTAAACTATGCATGAGAATTATGTGATTATACGGACGGATCAATTAACCTCTGCGGTTAACTTAGGCGTAGTTGCAACTGCCCTGTTTATTAAGTATACGACTTATTCTTGGAGATTCTACATGGATCCAGTTATAAGGCAAGTGGATGGATGCGACTAATAAATTGCAGCAAGTTGTCGTAGTTGATAATAACTTTACAGCTTTTTGTGAGTGTAGTTTGGTTATTACAGTCATAATATTCTCATCCGCATTGCCGTTAGGTAAATATGCGTGTACTTAATTTGCATGTCATAAAAATAGCAAGATAATTCTAACGGCTTTTTTTTTATTCTCTAACAGTTAAAAGTGCATGTCTAATCTTACTGCAAAGTGTTCCAAAAGGCCTTCAAATTGACAGCGTGCATGACGATATTGCCTCCGTAAGACGTCATATTTAATTTTTCTACTTGCGTATCTTTTATTCGACTATTCGTGTTCATACAGCAACTCAATGGTTCTATTCCTACAGATGAGTGAAGTCATCTCAGTTCACGAACTTCATATATGGCAGTTGTCTGAAAATAAACTGGTTGCTTCTCTTCACGTGCTATTGATGCCAGGCGCCGATTACATGTTGATTGCAACAAAAATACGCCAAACAATGCATGCATATGGAATACACTCGACCACTATTCAACCCGAGTTTGTTAAAATCGGTCCCGACGGAAAGGGGATCATCATAAAGAGTTTAAAATCGGGAACCGAACAGTTGGTTAATAATGAGATGGTAAGAAAAGGAATGTCGTGGTGATGGAAGTTTTTGTGATCAGTAAATTAAGAGTTGAATTGTGCTGATTCTGTTTATTCGTTATATTTTAATAGGAAACTCACGAGTCTGCTTGTTTATTACTTTGCTCAGAGGATGAGACATGTGCATCTAGCCTTTGCTGCCCACCCCCAGATAATCCGACTAATCCATAGAATAACAATATCACCTTCTTTTCGTTTCGATGACATCGAATATTATAAACAATTTACCTTCTATAAGCTGATATAATCCCACAAATTGTACAACACGAAATTCCTACAAATAGTAATACTTTAGACGTTCCTCAAGAGAATATGTACTTTCAACCTTTTTTTTGTCCCCCCTAATTTTTTGGAGCAATACTTTTCTGAAACATAACTCATGTTTAATTGTATTTAGGCAGGCCATGGAATATGAATTACTGAACTTTAATGAGCCATCTGCGAACTGGTAACAAATAGAATTTTGTGTCTACATTCAATACAATTATTATTCATGATCGATGTCAGACCAAGAAGAAGACAATCAGCATCACACATTGACTCATTCGAAAACTTGAATATGGAATAGTAGTAAATGCCGAGACCGAGATGCCGTAATTGATGCTTATGACGCGCAGTGAGACAATAACAACCCACTCATAATCCATAATGTTAATAATACAAAGAGTTGGGCTGCGTTCGGAGGAGTAGACACGATTACGATGCTGATAGATGCTGGGGAGGAAGGTCTAACAATCCGAATAGGCTTTATTAGAGCAGGACAATATTAATACGCAAGTGGGTTTACTATTCGAATGTGCTCGAGCCGTTAACAACAAAACAACAGAAATAAAATGTTGTATTCTTATACAGTGGGCCATTGCTCCTCAACTTTCATAAACAGATTTCATATAAAACAACCGAATTATAAGCTCACAACGTCGCCGCATTGACTCTCGCCAAACTATGGGTGTTTCCAATATGTTTTCACATCTCTATTTTTTAGCATTAGCTTTTCTACATTGTCTTAATAGTCCCACAAAATTTTGTTGAAAGGTTAGTCCATAATTTCTGGAGCATTCTCCGGCAAGAATTCCTTGGTAAGACGACTTGTATGTTTGGATCACTGTCTTGTTGAATCGCGTTAGCATCCCGGGTATGCATTTGAAGGATTTCAACATAAAATTTGGCATACATTATCTGTTTAAAGCAACATGTACAGTACTTGGAAAACAATCCACATTATATTAATATACCCACCAGCTTTGTAATATTTTTTAAACTAGTCCATAGAAGGATGAGGTTTAACAATTCATGGCCTGTTTAAAACCCAATTGAACGTTTATGATATGATAATTCAATAAGTTGTATCGACAACACTTATGTCCATGTGTATCAATTAAATTGGAGTTTTGCGTTCTTTATTTGTTTACACCTACGATTGAACGCTAAAGGTGTACTGTATCAATTAAATTGGGGCAGATTGCAACAAAGTGAACATTTATCCAAAATTGCTGACATGGCTGAGAAATTAGATATAGCTGGTAACATTTTGGAAAGGCTTTCACATAGTAATAGTGGTGCTCGCGCAAGTTTTACAGGCATACTTGATCTAAAATGTTATGTCACTCCTTCGTATATCATAAATCCTCAATATTTCAGGGCATTCTCTTTTATACATGTTTTTGATGGGATTAAGTCCAGATTGTTGGATAGCCATTCCAGCATCTCTGAAACATGTTCTTGCAGGTAGGCTTTGGCAATCCAGGAATCATTGTCTCTTCAGCTTTTCAATATTGTCATAGATGGTGCTGAGTGGAATACGTTTGGCATTCCAAATGCCATTGTTCCACAACTGTAATAAAGTCTGACATTGTAATTGTGCTTCTTTTCAAAAGTTGTTGTAATGATGGCACTGCTAAATATAGCCCAAAACAAGCTGTTTTGTAGCATGCATAGCATAACGCGCTAGACATTTTTATGTTACGTGTAAAAAATTCTGTAACACATTGGACATATGGGCAATACAACAGGTGACATGCAGGTTATTATATACAATGAGTAAAGCAAAGAAAGTTTATTCTTCAGAAAAAAGATTAGTATAAGTAGGCTCCAGTTGCATACGTACATGATTATACCTTACATAAATCCAAGAGTTACACAAGCGGACATAAGTATCCGAACGGTTGTATTACCTAAACGTACATAATAATAACTCCTTAAATTTTCCAGGC